AGGCAAGGAGGCAGAGGTAAGCGGATCTCTGTGAGTTCAAGGCCAGCTGGTCTCCAAAACGAGTTCCAGGAAAGGTGCAAAGCTACACAGAGAAACCCTATCTCGAAAAAAATAAATAAATAAAAAATAAATAAAAATAAAAAACTTAATTTCCATAGCAATATAAATAAAAAGTGCCTAAACACAACAAATTATTTGACAAACAAACAAACAAAGCTCCTTCCTTTAGGAGACGGTAGGAAGGCTCAGATTTTCTGGTCATAAAATAAACATTATCCAATAATATTTACAACTACTCCTTGAAAAGATAAACATCACGGATACATACAATTTAGTGAGACTTTTGAGTCCAGCAAAGGCTTCACTAGCATCTTCTATGGCCCATGAAATTTCATTGTTTCTCAAATCTCTGAAAGTGTCAGGGAAAAAAAAGTTGTTAGCCAATACGACCACTAGACAGCATCCTGGTATGGCAGCGTAAAGGGACACATGCTAATTTTGATTCTTATTTTAACAATTATTTATGGTGAAGACTCAGTCTTGTTTTTGAAAGAAATATTTGTGATAAACAGAAGAATTGATATATTAAGCAGGGGTAATGGCACATGTCTTTAGTCCTAGTACTCAGGAGGCAGAAGCAGGAGGATCTCTGTGAGTTCAAGGCAGCCTGATCTACATAGTGAGTTCCAGGACAGCCAGAACTTCATAAAGAAACCCTGTCTCAAAAATAAATAAATAAGAACAAATAAATGAATAAATAAAAAAATAAGCCAATTAACTTGCTTAGATTACTAATCTTCCTAGTTAACCATATCTAACGATACTAGCCTATTAAAAATTGTAGATGGGGTCCTACAAAAAGGAGGGTTCCAAGATAAAGAAGATAGATACAGCTTACAAATGTAATTTTAGACTCATGGGATTTCTGGGTGTTCCAAGCCTTCCTCTAGGCCCTTAAACTTAAAATAGCTCCAAGAGTAACACCAACACAGAGCTTCACAGCTCAAGAGCAAGCCAACATTCCTCTTGGGAAGGAAAATGGTATGCCCAGGTGCTAGTGTAGTCACTGTGTTTTCTTGAGAAGTATGGTCTTTTCAAATCCACTATGCCATTCTCAGAGGAATTACAATTGTATACACCATGTAATGACAAAATATCAAAAAAAAAAAAAAAAAAATCCACTATGCCATTCTCAGAGGAATTACAATTGTATACACCATGTAATGACAAAATATCAGTTATATTAAAAATATTTAGGGCTGGAGAGATGGCTCAGAGGTTAAGAGCATTGACTGCTCTTCCAGAGGTCCTGAGTTCAATTCCCAGCAACCACATGGTGGCTCACAAACACCTGTAATGAGATCTGGTACCCTCTTCTGGCCTGCAGTCATACATGCTGTATGCATAATAAATAAATAAATAAATAAATAAATAAATAAATAAATAAATAAATAAATAAATAAATAAATAATATTTAATCACAGGCTGCAGAGATGGCTCAGCAGTTAAGAGTACTGCTGCGCATCCAGAAGTACTGAGTTTAATTCCAAGCCACCACATGGTGGCTCACAACCATCTCTAATGAGATCTGGTGCTTTCTTCTGGCCTGCAGGCATACATGCAGGCAGAAAACTATATACATAATAAATAAGCAAAACTTGAAAAAATATATTTAATCACTTGCTTCCTAAAGTCATCTTATACTAAACTAAGGCACACCCTTTCTGATTTATAAGATTATATAAAGTTGTATGGATGCCAAGAGGCTTCTTCTTGCTTAGCCTTCTTCAAGTAAAATGCTAACACAGCTCATTTTCGTTTACTATCACTTCTTCAGGACATTACCCTCCTCCACAGCAGAAAATAAATAGAAATGATTCACCCACAGAGGCATGGTGGCTCATGCCAATAATCCTAGGACTTAGGAGACTAAGACAGGAAGATGAAAAGTTCAAAGCCAGCCTGGGTAACACAGCAGGACCTTGTCTCAAGAGACAAAAAAATAAAATAAAAGGAAATAAAAGGAAACATAATCAGTGAGGTATAGAGGCAGAAGTAAGCAGATCTCTCTGATTTTAAGGTCAGCTTGGTCTACATATACAGGTGTATTTTTGTATGTATGTATATGTAGTGGTTTGAATGAGAACTGGCCCCCAAGGCTCCTACAGATGAATGCTTGATCCTCAGTTAGTGGAACTATTTGGGAAGGATTAGGGGGTGTGGCTTTGTTTGAGGAGGTGTACACTGGGGATGGACTTTGAGGTTCCAAAACCCCACGTCAGGTTCAGTCTTGTTCGCTTTGTCTCCATTTTGTAGATCAGATGTAAGCTCTCAACGACTGGGGCAGTGCCATGTCTGCCTGCCTGCTACCTACACGCTCCCTGCCATGATGGTTATGGACTAACCCTCTGAAACTGTAACCAAGTCCCCAATTAAATGCTTCTTTTTATAAGTTGCTTTGGTCATAGTGTTTCGTCACAGCAGTAGAACTAAGATAGAAATTGGTATTGGGGACTGGGGTATTTCTGTGACAGCCTGACCATACTGTTATTTACAGAAATATGGAAGACTCTGGGACTTTGAATTAGGAAAGCAGTTGAATGCTGTAAGTAGGGCTTAACTGGGCTGTCCTAGTAGGAGTATGGAAGGCAGCTGACAGCAATGTGGCCTATGGAGGCCCAGTTCAAAAGGTCAGAGGGGAAGAATTTTAGAGACAGCTCATGTGATATGTTGGCAAAGAATGTGGCCGCTTTCTGCCCTTTGTTCAAAAAATCTGCCAAAGACTAAATTGAAGAGGTCTGGACAAATGTCATTGGCAGAGATTTCAAAGCAGCCTAGCGTTGACTGTGTTATGTGGTTATCAGTGATGACGGTTACACAGATCTACAATTAAAAGAAGCCATAGATGCAAAAAGAAATACAAAATATACAGTTTTAAGAGGAAAGACCACCAGGAAATGTAATGTTGGAGCCAAGCAAGCCCTATGCTCACAGAGATGGGAAGTTTAAAGAAAGGTCTGATGCTAAATGGAATAAAAGGAATGTTACCTCAGGGCAAAATCCAACTTAGCTAATCCTACAACTTGTAAAAAGGCAAGTTTATATCCCAAAGGAAATACCACCAAGTCAAAGTTTATGCAAATATAAGTCATGGAAGGGACCAGGTTTTAGCCCAGGCAGCAGAACTTGGCACTTTTGGCAACATGGTTCTGGTTTGATCAAGGATATAAGAAAGGGGTTGTAGAATAAGTCCTCAGCAGTTAAGGAAAGCCGCTAGGGCAAAGTGTGGCAAGGGAGTCCCTGCATGGTGACCCAAAGAGGCCATTTCATGAAGCTATGAAGGTGAAGCCTGGGTAATTACACTGGAGATACCAAGATGTTGGAGATTGCCAGAACCTTGGATGCCTGTCAAGGAGAGCTACAGACAGGGTGTGGAACCAGTCCAAGAGAGAGAAGTGTGTTGCAGTCAACAAAGCTGGAAAAAAAAAAAATGGGATATAAAAAGCCATCTAATAAGTCAAGAACATTTAACATGTTAATACCAGTAGGTACATCTTGCCTTGCAAGTCAGTAGTGTTACACACAGAGTCCATGGCTGAGGAAGACTGTTGATAACAATACTTCTTCAGCACTGTGAGACTAGTCAGCAGGAAGGGCACAGAGATAGAGAATTTGGAGTTTTCCCTGCTGGGTTTTGGTCCTGCTTTGGTTTAGTGTTTCCTCACCATGTTCCCTTTCCTCCCTTTTGGAATGGTAATGTATGTCCTGTGTCACTGTATGTTGGAAATATGTGATTTGATTTTTTATTTTACAGGGGATTACAATTAGAAGATTGCCTTGAGTCTTGGAAGAGACTTTCGTCTTTGAAATAGTGTTGAGGCTATGAAAGACGATGGGGACTTTTAAAGTTGAACCGAATGCATTTTTCATTATGATGTGGCTATAAGTCTATAGGGCAGGAGGTGGATGTGGTGGTTTGAATGAGACTGGCTCCCATAGATTCATGTTTGAATGCTTGATCTCCAGGTAGGAGAACTGTTTGGGAAGGACTGTGCTGTGTCCCTGCTGAACAAGTGTGTCCTTGCTGGAGGGGGTGTGGCTTTGTTAGAGGAGGTGTGTCACCAGGCGTAGGTTTTGAGGTTTCAAAAGCCCACAACAGACCTAGTTTTTCTGTCTGCTGCCTGATGGTCAGGATGTAAGCTCTCAGCCACTGCTCCTACCTGCTGCCACGCTCCCTGCTAGGATGTTCATGGACTAACCCTCTGAAACTATAAGCAAGGCCCTAATTAAATGCTTTCCTTTATAAGAGCTGCCTTGTACATAGTGTCTCTTCACAGCAACAGAACTAAGTAACTATGTATAATAGTAACTAGACAGCGTGTATCCTAATTTTTTTTCTTATACTTATTGTGTCTCCTTCTCATTGGTGATTAGGTCCCAAAGTTTGGAGCCTATCTCTTTCCTGAAACCATTTATTAATTTTGAATGTGATAATCATCAAGAATTCTAATAAATAGGCATTAAGAATCTAAATTATGAGAACAGGGCCCCTAAGAAGGGACAAAAGACATTTTTAGGGGGAAGGGATAGAACTCATTAGATACAAAAGTAGAAGGGGAAAACAAAAAGTGGAAAAGTTTACATGGGAAAGGAAGCAGTGGAGTAGAGGAAGAGGAGGAGAGGGAGAGAGAGGAAAGGGTGGGAAAGAGTCAAAGCTATGGATATGGAAAAAAACCTCTATCTACCCCTAGGAAAACCTGATACTTGGTAAGCTAATTAAAAAAATAAAATTTCAAAAGAAAACAGAGGTTTAATGGTGGTACCATGCACGAGAGAATAAAGCTGCTACCAGAAGCCATATGATGTTAAATGAGAACCCCAGGGCCAGGGTGGGTTGCCTCCCTACAAGCGATTAGACAGAAAGGCCCCAAATGCCCCCAAAACAACACAGGAGATTGCTACTGCTGTTGGCTGCCCACCAGAACTAGATGGTAAGACAGCTGCTGAAGGTACCAAATGCTTTGGTCTCAGGACAGAGGAATCACACTAGAACTAGGTTGAAAGCTTCCTTCCTGCTGACTAGTCTCACAGTGCTGAAGAAGTATTGTTATCAACAGTCTTCCTCAGCCATGGACTCTGTGTGTAACACTACTGACTTGCAAGGCAAGATGTACCTACTGGTATTAACATCAACACGCCTGTTATCCAACCACTTTGTGATTGTATTTGAGGCTTGCTCCATAAACATGGTCAAAAGTCCATGGCTAGGAAAGGCGTGGGCCCTAGTGAGGAAGCAACTGCTATTATTTTCCTAATGAGCATGATGTGCCCAACATCTGACTTCTAAATAATTGAATATGATTATCGATGACAGTTTTGATCAGAGAAGCTTCTTTTTGGAGAGAGCCACCAGTTAACTGCAGAGACTCATAACTGGTCAAAGTGAAGAGGACAGAGTATTTAAGACTCAGCCATAGGGGCTGGAGAGATGGCTCAGATGTTAGGAGCACTGGCTGCTCTTCCGCAGGTCCTGAGTTCCATTCCCAGCACCCACATGGTGGCTCATAACCATCTAGAATGAGAGCTGGTGTGCAGGCATATATTCAGGCAGCACACTGTATACAGAATGAATAAATCAATCTTTATACTTATTGTGTCTCCTTCCCATTGGTGGGTAGGTCCCAAAGTTTGGAGCCTATCTCTTATAAGCATAACAATCTTAAACTCCCAGAAGCTGTGACGACCTATGTAAAACGAGGCCCATCTCCTGGGAGAAAACCAGTTGTTAGAAGGGTTATTGTTGTTCTATACCTCACCCCATCCCACCCAACCCCTGACCTCCAGAGCAGGTCCTGGCTTTTCCTCATCCTCTTCTACAGTACCTGGTAGACCAGTGCTACGTTGAAAAACACAAACCTCATGTGCTACTTACTAGTGCAATAAAGTGAAGGCTGTCTGCCCAGATACATAATTTATGTAAGAAAACAAATTTCATAAAGGGAGAAAAAAGATAAGGCCCATCAACATTCTTTAATGGAGGAAGAAGGGGCTCACAAGGCCCCACACCTCACTGAGGATTTACACAGTTAATGGTTGATGGGGGAGGGAAGAGATACTTTCTTCAATCTTATGGCCACTGGTACCCGAGCCAGACTCCTATAAGCAATCTTAATGAAACTCATCAGTAGTACTTCTGTCGACTGATTACTGGCCTTGTGTATGCTAGGGGAGTATTCCCCTGAACAAGGCCAATAATCAATCAACAGCAGCAGCACCATATGTAGCAGCACGT